GGGCGGCGCGTGTTTCGCCAGGACAAACCGGAAACGGCGACGATATTATACAGCCGGGTCGGCCGCAGTCGAACGAAGGAGGCGCGCCGCTGTTTCACAAATTTGCAACTTACTTTCGGTTTCGGGCGGTCCGTGCGGCAGGACGGTCGCCATAATTTAGACTCGAGTTTTCCCTGTATCTGTGTTAGTCAAATACGACGAAACTGGTGCGCGTACAAGAGCTGGGATTAAAATCAGTCGGTTAACTGGCGTCCTTTGGCAAATAGAACGGAGACGAAATAACAAAAGAACAGGAAGGTTTTAGAGTCGTTGGAATATGTGGGAAAGTGGAACGGAGAATTTCTTATACATCCAACAGTTATGTACAATCGTGAAAAGATACTCGTACTGTTCAAAACGTTTCACGTGTACGAATAAGGTCGTACTGCATCACGTGCCATTTTCCGAGCGGCGAACAATGCTCGTAAATGAGATTATCTTGGCAGACGCGTGTCTCAGGTATCGAGATACGTCGAGTTAGAAAATGCATTTACAGAATAAAGAATTTACTTGGATGGCACATTCCTTCGATGACAAACGCGGACGAGTCGCTGCGGTATAAAAGAGACAGAAAGTAGAACTTGGATGAAACGAAGGGAATGGGAAGAAGAAAGAGAAACTCGAGAATGGAAGAAGAAACGATCGAGAGAGCGGAAAGGATAAATGGCAAGCAGATTGGAAGAGATAGAAGCGAAGAGAGTTCAGCAATTCGGCAATTGGCACAAAGCAAATCGCGGCCTAATTAGAAGATAACATCGGTACTAGTGGCGGGTTCGCGACGCGTGCGAATGCCTCACGTGATTTGCGAGACTGTCACGGGATAATCAACGAACGGGTCTGCCGCGATCACGTTTACCTCCACCGGGTGCACCCGGTTGCCGTGGAAATAGCTTCTCGAAACGTCGCGATAATTAACCGGCTCGTCGACAGAGTCCAGAGAAGGCGTGATTCAGCTGGAACGAGACAGATATACGTACACGAACGCGCAGCCATACACGCACAAAGGTAGACAAGGGTAGAAATGGAACAGCGTTCGCCGGTGGAACGATTCAAAGGATAGACCGCGTTGTATAATTCATAGAGCGCGGCGCAAGCGAGAAAGACAGAAACGGAAAAATATAGGAAGAGAGAAGGAGCGGGAGAGAGGGCGCGGCGAAAGGCAGAAAAAAGAGCAGCGTTTCGTGGAAAAAGGTTGAAATCCATTGGCGTGGGCCAGCGGGGATATAAGACTATCGAAAAACGATTAATCCCTGAAGAGGATCACCGCACCGGATGAAAAGCGATATTACCCTGGGGGCCTCTAATTCAGCCTAATTGCTCGTTTATGCGAATCCTTGAAATATTCATGAAGCTTTATGAGAATTTTTCATCCCGCAGCTCGCGCTGCTTCTTTCGAACTGTTACCCAAAGTGGAAGGGGGCTGCACGTGTTTCCGCCACGAGGCGCCACGCGATCGATCTTCCGTCGATACCAAAGCTACACCGGCAGTTTTGTCGAGGCGATGCGTTTGTGAAAAAGACACAGGCCGCTGACTTTATATCGAGGGATTCGTTTGAGAAACGACACGGTGTATCATCCTGCTGGTGGAGATTAAACGGGCGAACTTAATGGGACACAGGTGACGGTTTCTTCGACCCGGTAACACGAAAGCTAAACGCTCGCGATGGATTTTAGGTGGATTCCGCTTGAAGCTTCGAGCGTGGAACTGGCACGGTTACGTTGTAACAGGTTTTTTCAGTCGATGTAGAGATACGGGTGAATTACGTGCGAGTAATTACAGCTTAAGTATACAGACCGTGAACCAGGTATATTTGGACTGTCTATGGCTTGTTAAATAATGGCAATTAACTGTTATTTTCGCTGAAATATGCCAAGTATGCGAGAAAGAGGTCGTACGTAGATGAAGATAGAAACGAAGAAAGTATGGGAAAAGAAGAGTTTGGGAGAGCGCGGGCACGAATCGTTGAAAGCGAAGATACGGAAGAACAGGAAACTGAAAATGTCGAGAGAAATTGGAAAGTTCGAGAAAAGGAAGATCGCGTCGGCGGGGTAACTGGCACACCGCGATTCCAGCGAAAGACGTTTTCTCATCGGCAGTTCATCGGCTGAGAAAGGGAGTGGAAGGGTACTTATGTTCAGCCACGGTACCAGGCAAGGATGGTAAAAACCACAGTTAGTTAGTTCCGGACTCCTTCCCTCGAAACAAATTGCGTTTAAAGAGGAACAACGCCGACGGACTTTCGCAGTTAAATCTCATCGGGTAGCTTTGAGCAAGTTTTTGTGGCCAATAAAACATCAGGAGGGGTTGGGTAATGTTTTCTACCCAAGTACTTTGCAGGAAATCAAATTGTCCGAGCGCGTTTCGCAAGTGTCGCAATATTTCCTGCGTGCGCCACCGACCTTGTACCGGATCAAACGGATTGGATTTTCAATTGCTTTCGGAAACGTTCCGACGATTGTGACCGTAGAACACCGCCTCGAGCCATCTACCTTTGGAAAGCATAGCACAGTTGCGTTTCAATTAATCGACTAATGAAATAGTTGCGAGAAAAAGGAAAACAGACAGAAAGAAAAGAGGAGAGTGGAATGGGGGAGGAGGAGGAGGAGGAGGAGGAGAGGGGAGAAAGGATATAAAAGTAGCGGAAATCAAAGAGTAGCAAGCAAGCGAACCTTTCAACGTTTCTGGGACGATACAGTAACGGGCAGTTCGCCTAGAGCGAGTTTACATCGCGTCGTTTCAATTTCCGAATGGGCTGATCAGAAGGAAGAAAGGCACATGCGAACGAACGAACGAACGAACGAACGAACGAGCGGTAGAAACGGAGCACGGGAAGAGCAACGGGTTGGGAAAGAAGATCGTCAGAGTATTGCTTGGACGAACGGTCGCCCGCATCGAGGACAGTCGTTCATTTCGCGCGTACGCTAGCTCTTCCGGCGTTGAAAATTACGCAACTACTGGTTCAGGGAGCTGGCGAGGTTACAGACGAACGAAGGGACGCCGGTGGCAAAGGGTGGTCGATGGAAAACCGGGGAAAATGTGAGAAAAGCGAGCGCGATAGTTCGACATCGAGCTGTCCGAAGGAAAAAAGGAAACGAGCAAACAGGAAGGAAGCGGTGGAACTGATACAACGTTACGCGACGATACAACGAAATAAGCGGAGAGAAGAGATGGAAACCGACGCGGCACGCGTATATCAAGCTTTGCTTGCTCGCCGTGGGCCAGTTCATGCGGAAAAAACGTTTGCCGGCGACCGAGCATAAATAACCGGTCATCTCCAGGAAAAAAAAGCTTGATCGATCTGTTCAGGTTATTAATAAGTCGTCGAGCAGCCTGGAATACGGTTTAATGTCCGTTTGATGTTTAATCGTTACGTAATTCGTATCGTTATTATCGTCGTATTCGATGCGATTTATTCGAGAGATAACGAGTGGAACGAAAGAGAGCAAGATCGGCAGCCGGAAAATCAAGTTCGTATTCCCCGTATCTACGATTGCCAGAAACGTGTATTGTAAAAGTTACGCAATTAGTCTGTTAATACACGCGTCTGTTTAAACAAACGACGTTACCGTGTATCGTAATTTGCGCGTAAAATAGCGAGAAACGTATATTTAGAGATTTGAAAAATATCGAACTCTTTGCGAAAAACCAGTGGAAGAATACGAACGTCGAAGCCTGGACGGGAAATTAATTAGACTTTAAGTTGATTGGCTTAAGACTGGAAGTTAACTGAGAAGTTGACTGTTAAGGAGCTTCGCGGGTCTTCGTTTTTGTCTATGTTACACGTAGATCGGGAAAAGCCTGAAAATTTGTTTTTCCGGCTTTGATTAAGTGCTTCTTTAAATCACCTCTTTTTTTCAACGACGCTAACTAGCATGCTCTCGAGGAAAGACAAAAGAGTCGCGAAACTTTTAGTATCCGCATCTTTCTAGGGCCATCAAGTTTATAAATCTAGGTAATTAACTCTGCAAGAAGAAGTGTCCGTTTCTATCAAGCAAATGCCTGGAGGAGCAAAGTTTCCTTACAGATCTCTGGACATTGTTTAAGAAACATTTTCCTCCGGTAAAACATTCGCCATTGCCTTTTGCTTAATTATACGCTTCATTTAACCTTTTGACAAGATCAGAGAAAGCAAATGTTCCCTTTTAGAACTTCCAAACTGAGAAATTTCAATAAAACAGATACTTCGGAAACTCGAGCTTTCTTGGAAATATTTCACGTCGTTCTCTAAAGGTAATGTGAATTCCAAATCGTATTTTTCAACTTGCTTTTAATTTAGTAACAAAGTTCCGTCATTATTAAACAAATTTCTATAATTTATAAAACACGGGCTTAAATTCTTCGAAATTATTAAACGCTAGCAAATATCTCTCTCGGTATAAACAAATTTTAAATAATATACGGAACGTCGGCAAACTTTCTCTCTCGTTAAAATATCTCTAATCTACGGAACACTGATAAACGTTTCTGCTACCATAAAAGAGATTAGCTTAATCTTTGTTCGTTCGGTGAACAAAAACGATCGTACGAGAATCTTAAGCGTTTCCTAGGTGGAATGACAGCTAAAAATTGTTTAACAATCTCAAGCTGTTACTTCGTATTCGCAGAAGCGTAAAGTCGCGTTTCGCGATTTCCAGGACAAAAGCGTGAAACGTTATGACGTCGAGACGCGATTGTGCTTCAAAGCCACGACCTGTTTCGTTCCGCGTGAATGTTTTCGCTTTTAGCTCGTATCATCGTAATCCTGGACTTACGACACGGCATTTACCGTCCGTGGCTGACCGTCCTTGCAAACAGTGGCTTTGAGCATCGAAAATTGAACGGCGAACGCTGAATTTCTCCCCTTCTAACGCCTTCATTTTCTTCCATTTGCTTCAACTTTGATTTCATTTAAATTTGCTTTAGCTTTAATTCTTCGGTTGCAAGCAAACTTACTCGATAGAGTTCTCTGTCGAGGTCGGTGTAGTTGAAACTCGATGCTTTGGACGTTAATCGCAGTTTCCTTTACCTTATAGAAACATCTTTTCCTCCGATTTCCAATTCTTAATGTTTCTTCTTTAAGATTCTTACAGTTCGTCGAATCTCTAGATCATTTAGTTTCTCAGTATATTTTTTCTTTATTTGCATATTTCGCTGTATTTTACTATTATTGTACCCTGTTCCTCTGATTTAATTCTCCGGTATTACATCTGTACAAAATGTCGCGTTAACGCGAGTGTAGAAGAGCGAACGTCCCGACGATTCAAGTAAACGAAGATAAAATTTACGTAATCGAACGATTTAGTTGTATTGAAATCCATTCTAAACATGCTCAGCGCTATTACCAAGCTATTAACAAGAAATCGCATACAAATATTTCTTACGATATAACTAAAATAAAACAGGCAGAGTATGCGATATTCCACTAGAGCCTGTTGCGGAATTTAAAAGATAACCTCGCAGAAGTGCCCGGTGCTCGACAATTTTACGCTTACCATTTACACCAGTGAGCTAAATGTAAACTTAGATAGTTCTTCAAGAAAATCTTCTCTCTACGTGCTGTTCGTCGAACAGGCCTTGGAAACGACTGGACGTAAACCGTCGTAAAGAAACTGTCTGCACGCACGCGACTGCCAAGAAACACCGTTGTCATCGTGGTGTCGCCGGTTAAACCCGTCGTTACGTCCGAGGTTCTTGCGAACGAGCAACGATCTAAGGCAGCTACATCGAAAGACTAGCCGAGGAAAGTAACCCTTCGTCGTAACTCGTGCCGGTCGTTTCGGTTCACGGCGAACGACGATTTACATCGGCCGTAACCGCGAGAAAGGATTCCGGGAAATTGGATGTTACTTGGACATCTAGTCCGCCGTTTTGTTTCCTACACTCCCTCGGACAAGCTTATGGCCCAAGTCTGACTTTTCCGGCGGTTTCGAATGATCTCGTCTGGATAAAGAAAAAATCGAGGGACGTTGAAACTTACCAGACCACAACATGGTAAGCTTACGTGTATCGAGAGATAAGGTGATATTTATTTAGGTTTGCGAAGTAGGTTTACCGATAGCAGGTTGTTGGGTAGCTGGATGGAAGAAGAGAGGATATGTTTCTGGAATATCGATCGAATGGAGCGAATACTTTTGGAAATTAGGATTCGATAAGAGTGACCCTACGAGATTGGATTTAGTCTGACTTGTTAGAGTTTCTATGGTATCGATATTGTATTATGTATCTTTCTGTGAGTTCTATCGCCAGGTATCAGATTCTGGGTCTCGGATTATCGCTAGACTCGTCTTATGGGCATCTGTCCTTCGCGATAATCGCGAGATCATCCTTTCTATATATTCAAACGCGAATAAATTGAAACGAGACTAAAATCAAATTACACGTAATTGATCGTCGCAGATTAAATGGGATTTTCGTTTGCAATTATCTACGTCTTTTTACGTCGCTAGCTAGTATGCGACGAAATGCGGATAACGCTCGTAGAGATCGAAATTAAATCGGAAGAAATGCAACCACGTGTCTGGAAGATGTAGAGTAAAGAAAGGCCAAAGGGATAATTACGAATTCCCGCGTAAATTACTTTGCACAAAAACTTGGTAGAAAATCTACATATCGTGCTAACGAAACGGCGAATTTTGCTCTTTGAAAGCCGAAAACGAGTGTCAACGCGAACGTTACATCGTGATGCAAGCGCACGACAAGGATTTTAACATTTTGCGGCAATTCCAGCGACAAAGGAAGCACACGGTGCCTTTCCCTCGTCAGCGATTCCGCGCGCGAAGGTGCCATAGCGCGGGAATTTGAAATTCAGATTAATACGGAACGCGTTCATCGTTAACACTGCAAAGGTCTGCCTGGCTGTGCATTACCATACATGCGCACCCTCGCGCATCCAGATACGAACGCGCACCCTCACACAGACAATATTCCAGCTTCCTTGTAGCTTGCGCGCATATGATTCCGCCATGGTGTTTACCTGTCTCACGGCTGGTTGGAGAAATTCGGAAACCAGCGCGAGCATGTGGATTTCAATGAAGATGCGACACGTTGCCAGCGCTAAGATCGTTCACCGAGTGTTTTCGCAATAAATTCGTTGCGTTCGTGGAGCGTAAGTCGCGAGCGAGAGAACGTTGACGCTTCCTTCGTTTGATTGCACGTTGCTTCATTCTGCGTCGAGCTCGTGCTCCAGACCAAGAGGATAACGATCGAATTACCGCGAATTGCGTCGAGTTACCGCACACGAGTTGCTGCAAGTCGAACGCTACGATTAGTTGGTTTCGCAGGATTCTCCAGCAGCGACCTATTTTCTTGTTAAAAATGAAAATGTTGAAATTTCACAGCGTTGAATATTTGAAGGAACGTTTACAGCGAAAACTCGAGAATGCTTTGCAACTCAGCCGTGCGAGAGCCTCGAGGAAGCTGTCGATAGTCTATGATAATCTCTAGAATGCTCTGAATATTTACGTCGTCGAGATCGTTGTTTACGTACGTTTTAAACTCTTTTTAGAGCCTTCTTCGCGATTATAGGGCAGAGAATATTTTTCTATGCGTTTTTATAACAGTTTATGAGAAGTCTGAAACTGTTCGAAACCATATCAATCGGATAAAAAATAAATTAAAGTGCGAAACCGTTCTATCTGGTAGACAACCTTATACCTTCCAACAGAATTTATCGGTAGAACGAGCAAATGTAACATTGTGGACAAATGGCCTAGGAAATATCGGGCGGACCATAAACAATGTTGCGAGAAAGCCTAATTGCCGACAGGCTCGTCAATGTGTCGTCGGTCCTTCGGTCGAATAGTTACGCGGAAAAAACGCCTACGTGATCATTGCGGAACAGGTACGTGGTAGGACTATGAGAAAAGACGAAGGGATGGTTAAGGGAGAAAGACGAATTAACGGTCAGTGTGAGCCGGGAAGTCAGAGTGTGTTGTCGAGGTCAGCGTTGTCGAGGAGGGTGATCCTCGTGAAGGAGAGCGTTGGAACCGTGATGACGAGAGTTGTAAATTAACTATTTAGTTGTCTCAGTTATAGCACATTACTGTATTCAGTTCGCGTTAAATAACCATCGTTTCCTGTTTAATCCATTCTAAATAAATAAGAAAATCCTACAATATAAATTAAAGTACGAAAGCATTCCACCTGATAGACAACCTTACATCTTCCAACAGAATTTATCGGTAGAACAAGCAAATTTAGTTCTTCAAATAAAAGCAGCATCATCGACAGGAATGTGTCGTTTAGAAATTGGATCGCGATTCTACCGAAAGCAAATATTTTTCCTTGCATCTCGCGTGTGGGACAATTTCAGCGAATAAAATTTCACATAAAAGTAAATATTCCCGTATAACACGGAAGCGTCCTCTAAATTCTCGAAGCAGGACCGGCTCGAATCGAAAGGCGTCCGCTTTCTAATGGTTCTCTGGGCGTTTTGTGGAAATATGCGAGTCTAATCCCCGCGGCGACCGTGGAAATCCGTTAAGCGGGATTCGCGAGCCTTCGCAGTCGGCGTTTCTGCTATTCGACGATCTGGCATTCGCAACGAGGACGCGTAGAAGAAGATGACGACACCATGGACTATCAGCGTCACGAGAGTACAGTTTAAATTGAGAAATACGAACCGTACGGTTTAGGATTATTAAATATCAGAGGAACGTCGTTCGATAGGCGTAAGAATGGATTTTGTTCGAAAAATAACGAAATTAAAAGTAGAAATTGTAATTATCGAGATAAGTTCACAAATAGTCGAAAGAAAATTTGATCGGTTCAGCGAATGATTTAATTTTGATTAAATACGAAAGAAGAGTTTGCGAACTGGGTGTGTGACCCCAAGTATCATAGACGAGCTAAAAAGAACATAGCCTGTTCCTGACACGATTTGCATATATTAAATTCCAGTTTGTATATAAAATCGGGAAAGAAGGTGGTTGGTCGAATTCGTTCGATCTTCAAGCCGGACCAAGCTGCAAAGAAAAATCCTGTAACGCGAGATTGTCCCGTGGAGGGGGATAGGAAGTTCCTTTTCGATGATCACAGAGCCTCGTCTTCCGTGGCACCGCTTTGGAATACTAATATTAAACTTCGCCCGTTAGCGACGTCAAAGACTTTTTGCATAGAGCAAAGTCTGCACGTGAGAGAAATAAAAATGCAGATACCTGTATACAGGGAAAGCGAGGGATACGTCGTCGACTACGTAATTGGGAACGATCCCTCGATATCGTCGGACAATTATACATCTTGTGCAGCGTAAATCACAGTCGAATTTCATCGATTCTTCTAATTTTCACTCAAATATTTTTACAGTAAAAGATAAAGATAATAAACGGAGAAGTCTTGGCCGATAAAATTTGTTTAAATATACGCACACGTATAGATGAAAGAAAAATCTTAAAGTTTCACGTACGCGTTACCTTGGATGAAATTCACTTTCCAGGGAAATCGATTTAACATTAAAATGTCGGCTTTTACCTCGTCAAGTATCACAGAACACGTTATTCTTCATGAATTAGCGTTAGAACGGAGAAATTCGATTAGCTGTCCAGTCGACCGCGTTTAATCGTGCGGTTACATGGTGTCTTTCTTCTGACTAACCCTTCGGTCTGCCTTATCCACCGATAAACTTTACCCCTCGGCACTACCCGTTCCCTCGTTTCCGTCGTGCACGAACGAAACGGGGTTAATTCGTCGGAAAACTCGATGAGCCGGCGATCTTAAATCTCGTATGCACCGGCCAGACGAGAGAAAACAATGGAGGATCAAATTTTATGGGGTCGTTCTGACTAAATTAACGCGTGCCACCGTGTCGAAATATTCCACAGGGATTACGTATTGACGAGATACACTCGTGTCCCCATTTTTCCCCTCGTTCGGTTAACTGCATCGTACACCACCATTGAAACACCATTCCCCTTAATTTTGCTCTCTATTATCGACGAAAGAGTCCTGAAACGCTGTTTCCACCACTGGCACGGACGTAACAACGAAGCCAATTATTCGCTCGCTGCGAATTCGACGAGACCAACTTACGACGAAAATTCTGAAACGATGTCTTTGAACGGGCTTCGACTAAAATAATATTTCCGTTAAAATAAAATTCTCCTTTGAAAAAAATTGCCGCTGTATCGATAAACCGTATTTCCCGTTAAACAAAGATTGTTTTTCAATCATCGTAGCAGCGAGCTCGTCGAGAGCTTTAGACGTTCTGGTTTACCTTACGCTCTCCGGTTGCTCTTTCTGATTGCACGAATGAAAAATACGAAGAGGCGAGCGCGAGCTCAGCTTATACGAATGAGCTTACGGCTTAAGCATTCCGACTGGTGAGTGAGAAAACCGAAAAGAAAGAGTCCAAGGAAACAAAAGAAAAAGGAAAAGAAAAAGAAGAAGAGTACGTAACAGACGATGAAAGAAGAAAGTACAAGAAAACGAAGCAGAAGCAGGATTCCGCCTATAACGAGCATCGCGTACGAGGACGCGAACGATTGTTAAAATACATTGCCCGAAGGGGTGCGTGTGTGTACCGATAGAACGCAACCGGAAATGTTTCGAATGTTTTACTCCGGAATGCGCCCTTTCTGTCGCTTATTTTTCCTCGCGAGCATCCATGCAACTGTTTCGTTAGAGAACCCACTGTTTTTCTCCGTCCTCTTTTTCTCTTTTATTTCTTTCTTCTTCCTTTTTTCCTTGTTTTCTTCTTTTTGTTTTGTTTTTTTAATCATTACCCTGCGTCCTTGTTGCGCGAGCACGGTAGAAAGATATTAGTTATCGAATTCCGATAATAACGCGTCAAAGATGACGAGTCTGGTGTAAATAAGCCAGGAAATTGTTATTCGCCGGGGTTGAAATTGAAAGTTACGCGCGGCGGCAGACGCGAACGCACAGCCAGACGCCAGGATAACAATGATTCTCATCGAACGTCTCGCCGTTCTCCGGCCTGACTTCTTACCCGTGCAATATCGTGGCAAGTTTTCTTGCCAGCCTGAAACCCGCTAACCCTTTCAGCGTACGAAGCAAGGGCGAGCACAACCTCCAAGAGGGAAGTTAGTTTACGGGGGAACTTGGCTATATATGGAGTGTCTTGGAGGGAAGCTGGTGTACGAGACGACGTATAGGGCGTTTCTATGGAAAAGGAAGGTTGCTTCGTATTTGCCTCTTGGCCCCGGTTCATTATACCATAGACTATTTGCATTTTAATTACATAAAATACAGGTCGGAGAGAAGAGATACTTTATTTAGTGATTTATGGTTTATTTATTTGAGGATACTTTATTGTACGTAGGAGGTAGGAGTTTTCGAGGAATATGGCAATATCGTGGAGAAGAAGGATGAGTAATTAAGAAAATTTTATTTCGTCACTCGATAAAATTCTACGTACATTTCGAAGAAAATTCGTCGAAAACGTTACGAAATCGTCTCGTCTATCTTGAAATATTTATCACCTAATTCTACTCTGAGCGAGTTAACGGTTAAAATGGAAAACAAGGAATCGAGGCTTCCATCGACACGAACGAGTAAAATAGAAAATCAACCGTCTTCTTTCTCCTTTCCAAAGAAACGAACCTTTTGATGGGAGAAAATACGTGGAAAAGGTTGAACGTGGCTCAACGAGGAGAAGCCAGATCGAAAGGAAGCAGAACGACGCGCAGACAGAAAAATATCGTTTTCTCAAGGTTGCGGAAAGGAAGAAAGTCGAAGACACTGGGTGAAAAAGCGAAATAAAGCGGCGAGACGCGATGTACGAAGACGAAACTATGACTCGTGAGGCTCGACAGAGGAAAGATGAATACAGCCACGAAGGAGATGTTTGTACAACCCAATTTTTCGCTCGATTGCCGTCCTCTACGCGATTTCCCATCTTTCTGCCCCTTGCCCTCTCTCAGCCTTCGGCATAATATTTCCCCTAGCTTGCCGCGTATCTGGTGGCGCGTTAGACTCTTAGAAGGAACGCTCTCGTATCTTCCTGCCTCGTTCCGTATTCCGTGTATATATCCGGCGCCTGGAATTTCATTTTGATTCAAAGTTGAAGACGCCTCGTTCGACCCGTATTTACCAGCGGTAAAGTTTCATCGAGGCATGTAAATAATGTGTCGGCCAGGGTTCGGGATACGGTGAATCGAAAAACGACCAGCAACGCGTTGCCATGGGTCACTGAAAGAGGGAACACGCCGTAGAAAATAGGGAAGGGGGGGAGGGAGCAAAATAGAGGAGGAAGAGAAAAAGAAAGGAAGCGAAAGGTGGAGGCGGATGGTGATGCCGGCGAAGGAAAAAAGAAAGCAACCGGCGTGTGTGTAATTCCAGAGGAAAAGGTGCGCGAGAGAAAGGCTTGCGGCGTTGTTTGTTGCCTCATTGCCCGCGGTTAACTGCCAGCAACAAAAACGTTCTACCGTCGGCCAACGTTACGTCCTATTACCGAGCCTCGTGTCCCACGCTTCTCCGCGTCCCTTTCTTCTTCGTCGCGTTCCACCCTCTGCCCTTTCGCCTCGTCATCGTGACGAAACGCTCGTTTATAAAACTCCTACGAGAACATATTCCGCGCGAATTTGCATGGAAAGTATTTCGCCCGGTAATCGCGTTACATCGGCGCACACACGCATACACACACATACACACACATTCACTCGCTCATACGTACATACGTACGTGCATACGCGAGCAGGAAAATCCTCGCGATCGTCCGTCTTGAAAATATGTTGGAACGATGTTAAGATGGAGGTGAAATATGCTTTATAGGGAGGATTTTTCGGTCGATGGGGATATAAAGACGATATTCGAAGTTTTCCATACGTTTGCTAAGATAAATACGTTGCGTGGCCGTACCGCTTAACAAATTGGCTAAAATTATCGAATATCTGTCGGATAGTTGGTGGAAATCGGCCAAGTCGATTAAGGGCGTAGAAGTTATGAAACTCGCTTGTGCGATATTGTAACGTACTGTGCGGAGTATATCGCGGCTAATAAGTGATAAACCTTGTACTGGAACCTGACTGTCTGCAAAACGCAGCTCAACTACTACCTTCAGTAGCCTGTGTAATAAGCGTAAAACGTAGTTCGTTATTAATAGATCAACTTCCGTGTACCTGTACAATTAAAACTTTCCTCCACACGGAAAGTT